AAGGAAAGCATTTTGTCTTGAAATCTGCAAACTAGAAAATCTGTTGCATCCTGATGGAAATGCAGCCCTGCCAGTTATTCACAGAAGCAGAATCATTAAAAGAAAGAAACAAAATAAATCTGGGAGAAGCTTAATCAGACATCAAAGTTTTACTGAGACGCTGGAAGGGAAATTGCACCTCACAGGTGCACATTGCTTTCCAAAGAATCTTTCATTTTGTAATCCAAGCTAAAGAGCTATGATTTTTGTGGGAAACCTGGCTCGAAATACCCTACTCCCACTTTAGCAGTAGATACTTTGGAAGGGATGTTCCCCAGGCAGAAAAGCACCTGAAATCTGCTGAGGTCACCAGACATAGTAGCAGAGGTGACAGGGCTCTTTTGTCTCAGCAAGAGCATCATTCCCTTCCCCGGGATGGCAGGTGAGAAACACAGGACCTCCTGCTCTCCTGTGCAACCAGCACGGCCAGGACACCCCTCAGAGCACATTCAGAGCCAGAAGTGATGCCACAGCTGCTTTCCTGGGGGAGGGCAGGCTGCTCCTTCCCTCGCAGCCTGCCTACAGCATTGCCTCATCCACAGCTGTTCCAGGTTTAGTTCCAGCAGCTGAAACAAGAACAGCCGTTTGCTGGAAGCAGCAGCACCTTGCAGTGCTCTCCGGGTCCACCCAGAGCAGGGTGAGATGAGAAATGGGTGATACTGCAAGCACTGCCCTAGCTGGCCTGGTTTCCTGCCACTTTTAGCACTGATTGAGCTAGAGCTACAAAAGCAGCAGTAAATGAGAGGATATTTTGATTGCTGCCACAAAGGGCAATGAATCCTCAATGGGCAACTCTGCAGCATCCACGTGAAATCAGGTGGGTTTCACTCAGCACCAGTGTTATACCCATTTGCAAGGACTTTTGTGGCCCTGAAACAGGTGGACAAAGGGGAGAGAAAACTTTATATGTAATCTGCTAAGAGGAAAAGCAGCTTAGTACATTTGGACTCATTTTAAGACATTTCTTTTAAACACATAATGAAGTGCGTGCTGAGGAATTATAAGCATACCAGAACTAAAGGCATGAGACAGCAAGGTCTGCGCAATCTTAACTGGCTTTTCCGGGGGATCCTTCTACAGGCACTGCTTTGGCCAAGTGAAGGATGCAGCCCAAATGCATTTTAAAATAATTTTCACTAGGAAATTGTTTCCAAGAAGCTGAAGTTGTGACACAAAGTTCTTAAAACAATAACAAAAAAGGAACAAAAATATCCCTGCAATTGATCTTCTTGTTGCTTTTTTCTTTGGAATAGAACTGCAATTTTTATGTCAGAAATAAAAATAACTCATTATACTTACTAGCCTACATACCTTCTCTGGACAGAAAGGCATAAATGCAAAGCTATTTGTAGTTTTTCTTGTCCTTCAGATTTCCAGGAAATCTCTTTTTTTGTTCAGGAACATCATTTGCTTTCTCTCTCAATAGTTCTTTATTGTTAAAAACATGAGTTCTGGCCATCATCATCACTAATCCTCTATGTACACTAGCTACCAATTGCTTAAATTGCAGTCCTGGTGAGGCCGAACCTCGAACACTGTGTTCAGTTCTGGGCCCCTCGCCCCAAGAAGGACATTGAGACGCTGGAACGTGTCCCGAGAAGGGCAGCGGAGCTGGAGCAGGGGCTGGAGCACAGAGCTGAGGAGGAGCAGCGGAGCGAGATGGGGTTATTTAGTCTGGAGAAGGCTCGGGGGGACCTTATTGCTCTCTACACCTACCTGAAAGGAGCTTGTACTGAGGCAGGGGTTGGTCTCCAAAGTAATTACCAATAGGACAAGAGGAAATGGCCTCAAATGGCACCAGGAAGGGTTCAGGGTGGATATTAGGAAAAATTTCTACACGGAAAGAGCAGTCAAGCGTTGGAGCAGGCTGCCCAGGGAAGTGGTGGAGTCACCGTCCCTGGCAGTGCTCCAGAAACACAGACGAGGCGCTTGGGGACGTGGCTTCGCAGGCATGGCGGGGATGGGTTTGCGGTTGGACATGAAGGTCTTTTCCAACCATAATGATTCTGTGATTCTACCAGACACAAGAGTGCTGGCTTGCAGCAATGTTCCTTCTGTAAATAGCTGCAAGGATCAAGGTTACGTTCTCTAGTTAACTCTAATGGGAACAAAGGGGGCACATATGAGCACGGCGCTCCGAGGGCCACCACGCGAGGTGACACTGACCTCGGGGGCTCTCTGGGGCAGGAGCCCAAGCAGCAGAGCACCGACACTACCCCAGGAACGACGCCGGGCTGAAACAAGGTTGCAGGAGAGATTACAGCCCCTTGCCTTACTGATTTCTACTACTGCGTTAACAGCCTGCACAGCCCCTCATTCCAACAGGCAGCGCTTCGTCCTGCTTCGCGCGCTCCCTTGCACAGCCGCGCGGTGACGCCGGGCCGAGCGCGGCCATCGCCGCGGCTGCGCCCCGCCTGGCGCCGCTC